AATTATATTATTTATTTAAATCTTCAACAAAATACTTGTTTTTCAAACAAAAATATGAGAAATCGCTAGAAGGAGGGCTTGAACCTCCGACCTTGTGGTTAACAGCCACACGCTCTAACCAACTGAGCTATTCCAGCATATGGTATACATTATCAATATAATCTTATTTAATTTATATACTATGAACGTCATACAACTTTTCTTTTACATAATTGGTTTATAATATTTTTTAGATTTATGTTTATAATTTTAAAAAAATTAAAATATCCACAAAATAATATTTTTATTAAGATTAATTTACATAATAATATAAAAAAACATACACATTTGTTTATATAATTTTAAATTGGTTAATCTTCAATATTGTGACTGTTAAATTCTTAACACATGTACTACTAATAATTTTTTTGTTGTGCAAAAAGTGGCTCAAAACCCAGACTTGTAACCTCTAAATAAGGGAAAATTAGACACATTTACAAGCATATAAAATAAAACCCATGTAAGGTGTTCACAAAGACATAAATATTCACAACCATGCCATACTTAGCATAAATTTTATGTCCTTTGCCACACTTACCACCATGTTATAAAGAGAGAAACAAACATGAGTTCTACTACAACCCTTTTGTTAGGAATTTGACTACAAGAGTTGAATCAATCTCAACTTACACCTCATTTTGTATGCCACGATCAAAAATGAGTTGCAACTTGTAATAGATGGCCCATAACTTAGCTTGGAAGACAAGTCACTCTCTCAACTTGTAAGAAAAAGTAAGGATGAAGGGACCAAAATGATCCTGAAGAATACCATCACAAGAGGCTCCCTTTTTAGGTGAAACAACCCCATCACAATTCAACTTGAAGATACCAAAGGAAGGGTCTCCAAGATATATGAGATGAAACTATAAAGTGTCCTATAGCTGGTCATTGACCAAAAGTAGAAGAAAACGCCTCTTGGATCCCCACCAACATCATCATAACCTTTAGGCTTATTACTTTCACCCCCTATTACTAGCTTAACCAAGTAACAACTCTATTGTGATTTCACTCTCTCTTCTTTTTTTCTTTCATTCTCCTCATCTTTTCTCCTTATATATTCTTTTATTTCCCTAAGTTATTCCTTAGTACTCTTCCCACTGCTATGAAAATTTTGACTATGCATACTACTACGATGAAAATAATGATAAGTCATTTTTGTTCAAAAAAGTTTTTCACAAAGATTTGAAAGTATTTCACAAAAATGGAGTGATAATAAATTTTCACAAAGAAAAATTCAAGTGTGCATACAAGATCCATAGTAGACAAGAATATAGCATTCTAAACAAATTGGTTAAGGAAGAAATGCTCTTAAACAAGTATATTTAATAAAAACAAGTAAAGGAAAACAATTAAAATAGATACTAGTCATTTTCCCTAGAGTGAAAATCTAAGTGAAACTTAGAGTCCTTTAGAACACTTTTTTAAAAATGAACTATAAAAGCTAGTAAACCAGACATGTCCTTAGTGGAAACCTAAGTGACACTTAGAGTCCCTTAGGACTCTTCCACAAGTACTAACGAATATTAAGTTTCACTAATGATACTTGGGAGAGATAGAATAACACTAAAGGCTTTTCAAAACACTCCTAAAGGTCAAATACAAGCTTAAGGAAACAAAGAAATGGAAAAAAACTTAATCCACAATGAAACTAAATGAAACACAAATGTAATACAAATGAAATACAATTCAAACAATTATAAATGAATTAAGAGACAGATTTGGGGATGGCAGATTTGCATCTCCTTCTTATTGATGCCTTCACTTATCTTTATTCTCCAATTCAGTTGCCTATCCATGTCGAGATGGGTGCGCCTACAAAAGACACTTTGACACTCAAGTAAGTTACTCTCTTGATATATTAAATGCGAATCAAAATTAGTATCTTTACCTCGAGATGCGATACTATTTGTACTGACCGTGATGGGTCCAAATTCTCCTAAGTTGCGTTCTAGGGTTACCAATTAGGTAATATATTAATTGATTTTGTATTAGTGATTAAGTCATATTTATGTTTATCATCATAATTTAAGTTATAGGACACCATATCCCTTTCGGTCTTATCGGCTGCCAAAGGGATTGGAAAGGTTTGTTTGGTTATAGTGGTCGAATGAAGTGGTATTATTTGAAAGCCTTGTCGATTGATTCGGGTTCATATAACATCTTACTTGTTCGGGTCCTTTGATTACCAAGAGTACCGCAAGGGACCAAGGATTTGCTCGTGTGAATCCTTTGACTATTGAAAGTGCCGAAGGGATTAAAGATATGTTCATGTGAGCCCTTCGATTACCAAAAGTGTCAAGAAGGGTCCCATACTTGTTAGTTTGCAGTGACTGAATACCTATTTAGTATATATAGTACGAGACAAGTGATTTCCACCCTTAAACTTAATGTTTGTGGTAAAAGTTTTTTATTTAGTGTGTATTTAGTGTGTATTTCAATTAATAATTCTTAAAAACTATAAGTATATAGCATCTAATCTTTACTTAAAATATTTTTTACAAAATAAATCAATTCAAAACACACAGACACAAACATAAACACACAACACACACGTACGTACACATACATCTAGCTGTACATTTTAACACAAACATATTTAGCTGTACATTTTAACTTTCATATAAACATTACCTTTTCTTTGTTATATTTATGTTATGAATTTTTTTTAGAGATACAACTCTTTTATGATTTTTTTCCTATTTTAAAGTAGAGTTTTTTATTTTACAAACATCGTCCATCTTAGATTCTTAAATAAAGGTTAGGGTGGATCCACTACAAGAAAACTCTAAAATAGCTGCGAAAAATAAGCGTCGGCTAATAGATGACGTAAATACTGTTGGAAAAGCCAACGTTATTTTAAGATGTAGCGTCGACTTTTTCGACACTAAATTTAAATTAAGTTTAGTGTCAGAAAAGCCAACGCTATTCTTTAAATATAGCGTCCGCTTTTATGGCACTAATTTAGTTTAAATTTAAATTAAATTAGTGTCGGAAAAGCTGACACTATATATAAAGAAATAGCATCGGCTTTTTCGATACTAGACTTAAAATCACTACAATAAAATGGACTTTTAGTGACATTTAATATGACTTTTAGTGACAATAAAAATTGCTACAAAATCTTTTACCGGCATTTCACACATTAACTATTGTATGCAATGTCGCTAAAACATTTACCGATAATTATTCTATATGTTGGTAAAGATCCTCATAATGGTCGGGAAAAATGTATAACTTTTTATGTCATTTGTTACTGGCATTTAAAATTGTCGCTAAAAGTTTAAGAAAAGATTTATAATACTCTTTAATTATCTTATTTCTAGTCGATGTAGGATTTGTAAGATGAGTACAAATACTCTTTAGTTATCTTATTTCTAATTGATGTGAGACTTAGAAGATGAAAGTTATCTTCTTAGTATATATTCTTTAATTATATTATCTCCTAAATACCAACTTAGAATAGTAAGTTATAGGCCTAACTCAATCTTATAAAACATACTTGTAAGGTGAGAATTATCATTAACTTATATACTCTTTAATTATTTTATTTCTAGTCGATGTGGGACTTAAGTTTTTTCTAACAAATAATTGTCGCTAATAGTAAATTTTGATGTGATGTAAATACATTTTTAGTGGCCATTATATAATAGTTATTAATATTTTTATTAAATAATAAAATAGAGATAATTAATTTATTGCTATTAAATAATTGTCAGTAATACTAAATTTTGTTGTAGTGAATATTTAATTTAAGTTTAGCGTCGAAAAAGCCAACGCTATTTCTTTATATATAGTATCGGCTTTTCTGACACTAATTTATTTTAAATTTAAATTTTTAATATAAAAAGTAATTTTTAAATTATACAATCTATAAAAAAATATATAAATATATGAATATAAAATATTTTTTTAAAAGAAAAAAGTAAAACGAGGACTTTGTTTTCGTGTTTTGTTACAACATACAGTAATGGATTAAATTTATGTTATTGTAATTGATGGCTGAAAGAACAAGTTCGAAACATGCACCAATTATTTAACGATATCAAGATTATGAAGTTAACATTTAGTGGAAAATTAGTATATTACGTCATCTCTTTAACGTCGGGCACACTAAAATTCGACGTAAAAAAGACACGGTGACATTTTTATAATTTTCGCAAATTTTTTTACATCGGACCTAGTAGGGTCCGACTTAAAATGTCAAATCTACGTCGGATGTATGTTGTGTTCGACATAGATTTGACATTTTACGTCAGACCCTACCAGGTCCGACGTAAAAAAAGGACGCAGAATTGAATAAGAGAGTGCGAGGCACACCGCATGCATTCACTTTTCATCACTTTTCATTTTTTTTCTCTGTAAACCCTCTCCCTCTTCTTTGTTACTGAATCATTTTTTTGTCTTCTGCAAAGTGGGGTGAACTCTTTGTTACTCATTCGCACACTGTTGCAGCTCATCAGGTATGAATCAGGGTTTCGTTAACACCTTTTTGTTTTTCGCATTGCTATTGTGGCTATCTGTTCTATTCGATTTTTTGGTTGTTCTATTTGTATGGGTTGTTGACCTTTTCTTTTGGGTTGTTCTATGAAGCAGAACGGCCTGTTCTGCTTGGAGAATGGGCCGTTCTACAAGCAGAACGGACCGTTCTGCTTGCACTCGTTATGTTTTTTTTATTTATATTTTTTTTTTACTTTTTTTTTACGTTGAATCTTGGTAATGTCTAACGTTAATTTACGTCGATTTTACAAAATCGACGTAGATTTACGTCTCCTGCATTAACGTCAATATTTTTTTCGACGTAAAAAACTTAAAATAATCAATGTGGAATACCTCTTTTGTACAAGTGAAGTAAGCTTGCCCTCGCAGGGCAACAAAAGCACTAGTACAAATAAAGCACTCAGAATGCAGAATTGAGGTTGTAGACATATGAAAGATTAACAATTTCGAAACATGCACCAAACTTCAATCAAACAATCAAGAAGATCATGATTATGAATTTAACGACAACAAGCTTTGCCTTGCAAGGAAACACACAAACACTAGTAAAAAATCCATACAACACTCAGATTGCAGAATATTCTAGACACCAATAACACTTCTGAAGACCCTCACATCACTCTATTATTCTCGTCACAGGAACACCTCTATCTAGATGCGTGAAACGAAAGACCACGAAAGAATGTCATGCGTTTCAACCTTGTCACCAGTGGCAGCAGAGAAACCAATTCTAACCCATTCTGGGAGCACACCCCTCAAATCAATGGTTTGTGAGAACGAAACAGAAGAGAGGGGGTTAGCATAGCCAGCCACAACACTCAGTGTTTTAGACTTGGAATCATAGTTTATCAAAGCATTTCCAACTGAACCTCGAGAAAAAGAATTAACAGGCCAATCCGTAGTTTTCAAGGACGTAAGAGAGTTAACGTCAATTCCAATGTGAGGAGCAATGGCTACAGGTTTGGGATCCCACTCGTTCCCGAAGCTGTCAAATTCAACAGCCACTATTTGGTTTTTGTAGGAGTTGAAAGCAGTTTCGGGACTGAAGAGTCCAAGATATCCCCCAGATGAGTTTTTGGGAATTCTTGGGTCAGCGTCGAGTGGTAAGATGAAAAAGGAGAAGCCATCAGCGTGGACTTTTGAACCAGCGGAATCCACCACAAAGGAGAATTCAGTTTCGAAGTCAGCGAGTTTGCCTGTGGATTTGTCCCAAAGGTGAATGGGTGGAATATAAAGTGCACGACCAACGCTGTTTTGGCGAATAACGGGAGTGCCATATATTCCACTATCTCTTCTTGTCAATTGTATTGCACCACCTAATGGACGTGCATCGCCAAGGAAACCAATATCGAACTTTTGGTCGGGTCCGAAATTGGAGAAGCTGAATGAAACTGATTCGGAGGTCACATTGTTGATTAGCAACACAAAATGGAAGAAAATCATGAGAGCAAGAAAAGGAGTTTGTGTTTTAGCCATGGTTGAGTGATTAATTGATTGGAAACTTGATTGTTGGGTGCATGGAAAAGTGGGAGATTTCAGATATATATACTACCGTTGAGGCCTGCTAAGTCTGCAAATGAATAGAAAATAGTTTCGCAACAATGTACCTTGCAACTTGCATAGTAAGGTTCGAGGTCAGCACATAAAGGTGGAAAATCCGAGGAATGTTTTAGATTATAATATATAAAAAAGTTAGTCAATATCACTTGGACTACTAGCTACTGTTTATCTCAAATATATGTCTTTTTTAGATTGCAACAAAAGCAAAATGTTTTACATATTTTGTTGCGATTTTGTATTCAAAAGGTAAGAAATTCCATGTTGCCTAGTTTTGGTTTAGGATATTGAGTTATATATTAAGTTATTGTAATATAGATGTTAGTTCATGCGCATGAACGTTTCACATTGGTTTAATGATTAATGTTTTGATATGTTTAAATTCACACATTTTATTATCGTCTTGCTTAATGGCTGTCACAACAGTTTTCGTTCGTATTGTATTGGTGCACTTGTATGACAGTTTCACTACAACAAAATAGATTTTTAGTGACATTTAATATAATTTTTAGTGGTAATAAAAATTGTTACAAAATCTTTTAGCGGCATTTCCACAATAGTCATTGTATGCAGTGTCGCTAAAACATTTAGCGGCAATTATTCTAAATACTGGTAAAAATTCTCATTTTTTACTTTTTACTCAATGTGGAACTTGTAAGATAAGGATCGTTTTTTATTATATATTTTTTAATTATTTTATCTCCTAATTAATTATTTTATCAATAGTCAATGTGAGATTTGAATTTTCCCAATACACCCCTTCAAGTTTAGGAACTATTGAGTTTGGTAATGGTGAGTAATCTGATACCAATTTAGAATAGTAAGTTATAGGTCTAACTTAACCTTACAAAACAAACTTGTAAGGTGAGAGTTATCATCTATTTATATACTTTTTAATTATCTTATTTCTAGTCGATATGAGACTCAAGTTTTTTCAAATAAATAATTGTCGCTAATAATAAATTTTGGTGTGATATAAATACATTTTTAGTAGCCATTATATATTAGTTATTAATATTTTTATTAAATAATAAAATAAAAGAAAATTAATTTATTGTCACTAAATAGCTGTCGATAATTTTTTGTTGTAGTGTTTGCAAATAATTTCTTTCACATGCACGTGTCTCAGTAATTTTTTTTTTTTTTTTGTATTTTCAGGAATCAACGGTTACATATTTTTTAATTAATTAGGAATATATATGTTACAAAAATGCTACCTAGCTAGAAGAAAATATTAATGCTATTTTAAATCAAACTACCCATGAATATGTTCAAATCAACGGTACGACACTCAAATTTTGAAGAAATTTGTGCAGTATAAAGCATTACTAGAAAATATGTAATTATTGATATTTTGTCTCAATTGATAAATTTGTTAATTTTAGTAGCTTTAACCATCGTCAAATCTCTATATAAAAAATATTTTTTAGATAACATCTGAAGATAGCGTTTCGAAAAGAAGATGTATAACATTTTGGAACGAAAAATATTGTCAAAACACCAAAACTTTTACCTCTTGTTTAGTTGGTATTAAATAGGTACGTGAAAAATAAGGTGAGAATATAATTAGGAGAGTCAATAGATGATTTGGTTGGTGGAAAATGAAAAGTGAAAATAAAAAGGTGATGGCACCACTTTTTAATTTCCATCCAGAACAGCGCAAAAATGCAGTGCACTGCATTTTGGAACGGTTTTTTCTAGCGATTAAAAATCACTATAAAGTGTATTATTTTTTAATTAAAAATGTTTCTAGCGGTTTCTAACGCTCACATTTTTTTTTACATTTTTTTAATAAATACTGGCAGTTGAAAATCTCCATTAACTATTATAATCGATTAAAAAATTTATATCAGATTAAAGACTCTAAGAATTTTACCATAAAATAGTTGATAATAATATTATTTTATTTTCTTTCTTTCTTTTTTATTTCTCTTAAGTTAAGCAATTAAATTTTTATTATATTTTTTAGATATTTTTTTCCTTTTTATTTATTTTTATTTATTTATTTAATTTTTTTATCTATTTCTTTTCTCACTACCAAATGCATAGAGGAGCAAAAAAATTTCCAAAAGCGCGGATCCAAAAGCTTTTCAGCATAGGTGCCGGAGTTAGTTCGCTCCACCCAAATGGTCTTACATAGAGTTGTGGTTGCGGTTGGCAAGCATGAGATGCAACCTTGTATCAATTTCATCTAGACTAACCACTGTCAAGCCACTAATATATTCCATGAAAAAATTCAGAACACCTTTTGATCATTAAGTGTCTTGGTTTCAGGGGTCTTTCCAAGAAACCTTTCCTTCAGTCTTGCTGGTGTCCATGAAATATTGGCTTAATGAAAGGAGCTAATTCTCCAGAAATATTCCTCAAAACTCAACAAAATTGAACCACAGGTAAATTAAACTCACAGGATGAGGATTTGAATGTATGTGAATATTTTTATAACCTTTTTAGCACAGAAATAATAAAAGTTATAAGCTTGTGAAAGCTTTCATCCAGAAAAATGAAGGACATGATGTTTTAAAACACTTTGTTTTATATATTGGTTGACTCAATTAAGTTACGTCACAAATCCAGAAAAATGAAGGACATGAAGTTTTAAAACACTTTGTTTTATATATTGGTTGACTCAATTAAGTTACGTCACTAGTACAGAAGAGACATTTTATGTTTGTTATTTTGGATTTTTTACGTCGAAAAAAAGTCCGACGTCAATGCGGGAGACGTAAATTTATGTCGGGTGTTTTAGTCAACATAAAATTACGTCAGACATCCTCCATGTCCAATGTAAAATAGTTGACAGACAAAAAAAAAACCTCAATCCATGAACACGTCCAAAAAATACCCAAATGCTTCAATACAATCGAAGAGATATTTTACGTTTGTTATTTTGGATTTTTTACGTCGAAAAAAAGTCCGACGTCAATGCGAGAGACGTAAATTTATGTCGGGTGTTTTAGTCGACGTAAAATTACGTCAGACATCCTCCACGTCCAACGTAAAATAGTTGACAGACAAAAAAAAAACCTCAATCCATGAACACGTCCAAAAAATACCCAAATGCTTCAATACAATCGAAGAGATAGGTCCATAATAAAAAATGGGTCTTGCCGTCGTGCATCATGAACGGAAAACACCCAAAGGTCTCGCACCGCTGTCGCCGAAAATCGCTAGAGAGGAAAATAGTGTCAAAACACTCGCGTGCAGGAATAAAACAACATTTTTACACAGAAAGATCAATACTCGCATGAAAGCACTAACCTCAATCCATGAAAACAGCTAAATGCTTCAACCCAATTGGAGAGATAGGTTCAGAATCAAAAATGAGTTTCGTCGCCGTTGTCGTCGTCGCTCACTGTGACCGAAAAACACCCAAAGGAAATCACTAGAGGAAAACTCTAGAGGAGAACAATGAAAAAACACTTGCACGCACGAAAAAGACGAAGATGTTGGGGGGGAGGAATAAAACAACTTTTTTTACGTCGAGCCAAAAAGGATCCGACGTAAAAATTAAAATCTACATCGGACTGTAGTTTATATCCGACGTAGGTTTTAGTTTTTACGTTAGACTCTTTTTGGTTCGACGTACAAAAGTTTATATTAATTTCAAAAATGTCACTGTGTATTTTTTACGTTGAGTATTTTTATAACCGATGAGAAAATGTTGAAGTAAAAGACTGATTTTCTACTAGTGCGTTAAGTTACCTTCCAATAAGAATGATTCTACCAACTAAAATGATTATAACAAATATTTATAATTGTTTGTCACTTCTGATTACATAATATTCTTTATCTCACTTTTGCTCGAACATGTAATCTAACTTAGTTTACACAATTGTTCTTTAATCACAGTTGTTCTTTAAACACATCTCTCATGAAGATCTTCACTTAAAGTAAGGCATGTAGTGTCAAATATTCCACAAGAGTTAATGGTCAAGTTATATTATATTTTTCTAAGTGTTAACCAAGGTTAACCTTTTCTGACTTGATATGTTGTTGTCATGTCTAAATATTCTTATTTTTTGTTTTATCTTTGTATAGTGTGTAGAAAAAATGCTACGATTCAATAAAAGGATGAGTTGGATTGTTTAAAATTCTTCTTAAAAATTTCTTATATTAAAACCTTTTTTAAAGATTTTTAATTGACTCAATTGATTTTAATCAAACTTGGAATAAGAATATTGAAATAAGATTGTGCAAGACATTCAAGAATTATCCTATATGACGTGTTTTTAATTTAACAGTCAAACAAATAATTAATATTCAAATAAAATTAAAAAATCAAGTAATATATTTAGTAACATATACGAAAAGCTTGCACAAAATTTTATATTGGTTTACACATAACCACATGGTTTACATCCGGTCTCCCAATCAATTTGATTGAGAATTTATCTAAATCTATAAACTTCAAAGTTTTACAATTACAATTGCATGCAATTAACTTTTGAAAATTTAAAGGACCTCACTTCTTCAACTCTCAAATGTGCCCTTGTAGAAAACTCAATACAAGTAATCTTATCCTCTTGAGAAACTTGCTAAAAAAATTAACAAAAATAAGTGTAGTGTATCACCTTATCAACAAAATCAATCAAAATAGTGAAAAATTAAATCGATAGAATCTACAATCTTTATGTAGGTTGATGACTCTTGTACTCTTGATCCATAATAGAAGAATAATCAATTTACGGAATTTAGTTTATCATAAATAAAAACAATTTAATTTATTTATTTTGTTGGTTAATGGATTATTTCCAAATCCAGCTATGAAATAATAAATTATTTAATCAGATAATCAATTATTGTCAAAGATGCTTCAAGGAACTTCTAAAATTTGGGAAGCAATCAATTATTTTTAATGATAATCAATTATTTGAGTAAAAAAAAACTCAATACCTCAAAATTTTCACTTCAATTCTTTCCAAATCGATTTTAAACCTTATTCTC